CCCTGCTGCCTCACCCGTGTGCCCGGGGCTGCCCCCGCGCTCCGCCATCACTTCAGCAAGGATATGTCGTCGGCGAAGTCGTCGTGGTCGCGCCGCAGGCAGCGGAAGCAGCGCCACTGGAACACCATGAGGCCGAGGGGCAGCATGAAGAGGGAAAAAATCATCAGGGTGGACTCGTCCGTCTGTGGGATGTTGTAGCCGCAGTCCTCCATGTTGGAGTGCAGGTAGGGTCCGTCCACCGCGGCCGTCCGAAACTCATCGTGCACTGGGCACAGGGGAAGGCAGAGGTCAGGTCACCATGTAGAGAAGGCAGGGAGGGGTCCAGGCACTGCACACCCACCTCTCCCTCCCTCCGGGCCCGTGCTCACCGTGGCAGGCGCTGACAGCGAAGCCGATGCGCTTGCGCGCGCGGTCGAAGACCACGTAGAAACCCTCCATGATCACAGCGCCCATGACGGTGCCCGTGGAGGACTGGGAGATGGCAAACTTGTAGCAGTCGTCCTGAGAGGTGGCCACATCCTCCACCGGGCGCAGGTATTGCTGCAGGGAGAGAGGTGCCCTCAGGGCAGGGATAGGGGAGGCAGCTGTGCCCACCCAGTGTGGTGCCCGTGCCATGTGCTCCATCCTGCTCCAGCTCGGCCCCAGGAAGGGCCTGGGTGGGCCAACACTCACCTGGGGCAGGATGGTGATCCGGAAGGACTGGTTGGTGGCCTCCCCCATCAGGTAGAGGGACAGGACAGGGAAGATGTGCCAGGGGGTGGTGCCGACCTGCCAGCAAACCAGCTGCTCCCCCAGCCAGAAGCCATCTGGGAACTTTTCCGTCTGCCAGAGGGAAAGGGGAGGTGAGGGGAGCCAAGCTGGGCAGGCAGCAGAGGTGCCAGGCTGGCGAGGGGCTGTGCCCCGGAGGAACCAAAGGGTTTCACTGACCGAAGATGCTGTTTTGATGGATTTCACTGCAGCCTCAAACACCTTCTTTGGCAGCCTGAGGTTGGTGGTCCCACTGTCCACGATGCTCTTGTCGTAGTTGTACTGTGGGCAGAAGAGGAGTGACCCAGGTGCGGGACCCCAGCCCTGCTCCCCTCCCAACCCCATCCAGATGCCTCCAGCACCATGGCAAAGCCAAGCCCGAGGGGCAGGTGCCTCGGTGCCCCCTCACCTCTTTGCAGTCCATGTTCAGGTCCTGCCCGTTGACCTCCAGCTTGACAATGATGACCTCGTAGTACCACTCCTTCCGGATGGGAGTGTACCAGATGTCACCCACGTACAGCGAGCGGTCGATGCCACCGATGATCTGCAGTGGAGACAGAAACATGCTGCCACCAGACACTGCCAGTGCCACGTGGGACCCCACCAGCCTCCTCACTGCCCGCAGAGCGCTCACCATGCTGCCTCCCACCGAGGCCAGGGCCTCTGTCTCGTTGGGTGAGAAACCTGTCCCACACAGCTGCAGGGAGAAGATGTTGGGCACTCGGGTCTGCTTCACCAGGGAGTCAAAGAAGGGCTCCAGGCTGTCATCGGGCTGGTGGGAGGAGAAACAGAGGTAGGACAAGGATGCATCAGTGCTGTTCCTTCTCCAGGAGAGCTCCCTCGCAGGGAGCTGTGTCTCAGGGGCCAAGCAGAGCCAAGGAAAGAGGCAGCTGATGCCTGCTGTCCCCACTGGCACGGCCGGGCTGCTGTGAGCCACGACTCACCCGGGCAATCTCGGCGTACGCCAGCCCCAGGATCCCTTCCCAGTTGGAGCCGTTGATGAAGAACTTGTCTGACTCTGTGATGGCAGCGATGTTGGCTCTGACGGTGACGTTGGGCCCGTGTGGGATGGTGACAAGGTCAGTGCCCAGTTCCCCTTCCCACTTCCCCTGCGTGTAGGGCACATACACTCCCTTCCGCAGGTCGCGGTAGGTGCTGGACCTGCAATGGCATCAAAGGGATGAGTGAGACTGGAAGGGGCTGTGTGGATCCAGCCATCCCCGAGGCCAGGGGGGCCCAGGTGGGGCCTGGCCA